AAGCGCCGCACCTGGAAGTCGTAAGCCGCCGCCGCCATGCCGTCTTTCGAAAACAGGAAATTTGCGCTCTTGGCGTCGCCGTGGCACAGCGTCCTGAACCGCCCCGCGCCGCCGCCGCCGCCGCCGCCGCCGCCGCTGCTGCTGCCGCCGTTGCTGCTGCCGTCGTCGCCGCCCCTGAGGGCACTGTCCACCGCCGAGGCGGCCCTCTTCAGCTCCAGCCAGGGGCTGCCGATTTGGGAGAGCTCGTCCTGTCATGATTGAGGCGTTTGAAATACTCCTTTGCGTGACCGTTTGAAGACGAACGGTTGAAATGCAATGCAGAAATGCGAAGCGGTGTTTCGCATCAGGACATGAACTAGTGGGGGGCCGTGCAAAAGGCGGCAGCCGGCCAGGCCAGTCGTGGGGGCCGGCCGCCGCGCAGAGAGTTCGGTAGGCGTGGGGTGCAGTAGCGCACCGCCGTGTGCCGTTCGATGCACGCCGGCAGCGAGTAGGGGAGGGGCCTGCGCCGCACGGGGCCCTGAGCACCCCGATCAAAAGGGACACGGATCCCACACTAAACTCTACTGCCCCGCCCCCACGGGCGCGGCGGCCCCGCCCCCACCTCTCGAGTTGCCAGATGCCAGTAGCACCCGTCCTCCCACAGGCCTGCGGATTTCGAGGTGCAGCAGGGTTAAGCCGACAGGGTTCAGATGCGGCCGCCAGCAGGGCGGGCTCGGGTGCGCCGCGAAGGGCAGGGCGCCACACGCGCCCGCGCGGCTCACGCCGAAGCGTCCCGCGCACGGCGGGCGGCGGGCGGCGCTCTGGCGCTTGTTTGAATGCGGCGGGCGGCTGGGTAGCGGTGCCGCGCCCTTTGGGCAGGGGGCGCGCACCCTCCGGAGTGTCCTCCTCCCACCAGGCGGCGTGGAATGAGGCCAGCCACTCGAGTGCCACCTTGGCCTGTGACAAAAAGAATGAGAAGATTCAAGCACGCGCTCAGAAAACATGAGTGATCGCGCAAGCAGTCGAGCACAAGGGGCGAAGGTAGATGGGTTGGAGTATGGGCAGCGTCTGCCTACAACAGCCAAGGTGCATGGTGCAAGCAGTGACAGCGCAGGGGGGCGCCCGGGCCAGACACGTCCACGCGCATCCACCAGCAATCCCTGCCTACTGGTAAGCATGCGCATGCGGATGCGTATGCACAACCACACACACAATCACGCACACACGCACATACTCACGCTCATACACACCCTCGCAAACTCCTCACACTCTACCACACACGCACACACGCACACGCACACGCACACACACACACACACACACACACACATACACATGCTCACCTCCTCCAGATTGTAGTTGTGCGGCTGCTGCGGGAAGCTTCCTCGCAGGTCCGAAAGCACGAACAAAAAATGATCCGGGGGCCGGCTCTCCACCACAACAGGCTCTGGGACCCAGCACCAACTGGCCCCGCCGCCCGCTGCCGCCGCTGCCTCTGCTGCCGCCGCCGCCGGGGAGCTTCGGGCCGGCGCGGGCGCCGGCGCATCCGAGGTTGGGCGGGCGCCGGGCTCGGAGAGGCCGAGGCCGACCGCCAGCTCAGCCAGGCGCGGCGCACATGACCTGTAGAACTCAGCCTGAATGCGGACAATAACAGCCACAAGTCATGAAAACACACAACAAGCAAATCGAGGGGCCAGATTGCTCGGTGCACTAATCGGCTTCATAAGCAATGGCTTGCCTACCGCCGGCGCGGGCGCGACTTGTCCCCCCGCCCCCCTGCGCGCCTGCCACACGGAGCCGCTGGCCTGGGTCGCCGCCGAGGCGCGTGGCCCTCTGTCCTCTGCATTTGATTGAGCTGCAAATCACCCCTCCTTGCTCATAGCCCCCCTTCTTCCTGTCCCATGACGCCCTCTTGCACACTCCTTACCCACCCGCTGCACAACACACCCATACCGCCCAGGCCCTCACGAACATGCCCCCACCCCTTTCAACACACAGACCCTCACTGGATTGACCCACTACAATGGCAGCCGAAATCTCCCCCGCGCCCTATACTCACGCACACGCCTCGCCACACATCACAACACAACACAAGTACACATTCATATGCATCCACACTCACCTCTACAGCATAGGAATCCAGCTTCCGCCGGTGCCCCGCGTCCCCAGCCCTGCCGCGCGGCGGGTCGACCGCCTTGGCCACCAGCTGGCGCGTCACCTGGCCGCCCCCGCCCCCTGGGCGCGGCTGCGCGACTGTGAGGGCCTTCACGGATCCGTAGCCAGCCCACTGCGGCGCGCGAGGTTGTCGGCAATTGTTGGGTCGGGCCATGAGGTGGAGGCTCGAGGGTGTTGAGCTGGGAGCGCGGCAAAGTCGACACAGGGGAGATGGATGCAATCCATTGACTAAGAGCCATGACACATGCCGAGCAGCCACCGCAGCGGGTTGATTGGTTGTGTCGCGGACGGCTGCGATTCTCCCTGCGCCCCGCACCAGACGTGCGATTTGCGTCTCCTCCAGCACTTGCACCGCCGCCGCTGCTGCGTCGCCGCCGCCGCCATCCCCACAGCTGCTAGCACCGCCGAGCACGCGCTGCCAATTGGTTGCGCGTTTGGTGGATCCCATGCCAGCGGCTGTGGTGGCCGCTGGGCGCATGCCAGTGGTGCGGAGCGCGAGAAAGCGACGCCTGATCAGGGAGCTAGCGCATCGCATTGCCCCTGTGATATTCAAAGGCAACCAGTAACTTTGTTGCCACAAATCAAGCGTCCTTCATGACCTTGTGACGGTTGTCACTCGTCTGATCGGGGAGTGAGAACGGGATACAAGTTCTGACGTTACTGCAAACACCTTTATTGTCATGCTAGTAAGATTTCAATAACACGTCTAGCACTATGGCACCCTCAACAAAGAAGCGCGGCAGGGACGATGAAGACGACGGCCCAGCGCCCAGCGGGCCAGCCACGGTGGGCCAGCAGACGAGTTATATCAAGAATAAGCTCGTGCGTTCGGAGAAGTACGCCAAGCTGAAGCACAAGCAGAGCGTAAGAACCCCGCCGCGCGCGGCGCCGCCGCTGCCGCTGCTGCCGCTGCTCGTACTGCGCGCCCGGCCGCCGCGCCGCCCGCCGACCGCCGCGCCGGCGCCATCAAACTTTTGCACTTGCAGAAAGCCAAGCGGGCGGAGCGCAAGAAGCGGCAGGAGGAGGTGGCAAAAGCAGAGGACCTGGGGCTGGAGCCCCCGGCCAGGAAGCAGCAGCGGGTGGGCTTTTTGAAGCCGGGCATCGCTATATGGGCACTTGCTCGCATGCATTGAAGCAATGCAGGCAGGGACATCCGGACCAGCTGTGATTGATCTCCTCAAAAGCTGCAAGCAGAGGCGGGCGGCGGTGCGTTGCCACTGCCTGCGCTGCCAGGCTTGCTTCAGTAGCAGCCCCCAGACCCTGCCGCCGCACTCAGTGACCCTCCGGTAGTCTGCGAGACTCCCCATCGCGCCGCTCATCGCGTCCGAGTCCTCTCACCCCATCCCATCCCATCCCACCCGGCCGCGCCCCCGCCGCACAGACTATTGAGAACACGCGGGAAAAGGATGTGACAACCGTCGAGGCGGGGGACGAGGAGATCGAGCTGGACGAGGGGGACGACGAGTTCGCGGGTGAGTGATCTGGGTGAGATCTGAGATCTGGTCCGATGAGGCCCAGCGCGATCCCGCGGTGGCCGTGTTGGACGCGGGCTGTGGGGGCCGCCTGTCATCGAAGGCGCCAGCTGTGCGCTGGCAGCGGGGGCGCTCGCGTCAGAGCGGGGCCGCCGTCCAGCTGGCGTCGCAGATGACTCGCCCCGACCGTCCCGCGCGGCCCTTGCCCTGCGTGTCCTGCCCCTGGCCGCCGCTCCCAGCCCACTTTGCGCGGCGGCGGGAGCCCAAGGTCCTTCTGACCACCTGCTACAAGCCCTCGGGCATCATGTACGCCTTCCTGTCAGAGATGCTGGTGCGTCTGAAACAATTATCACAGCCACTTTCACAAATTTAAGGGAATGTGGCCTGCTATGCGGCGCACGAGCAGGGTTTAGGGCGCCAGCGCCGAGGCCCTCCCCAGGTGCCTGCGTTTCCCATCTTGTCTCAAATCGTATTCTGTGTGTTTCTGACGCTCGCGATCGTGTGTGAGATGTTGCGCGTGTGCCTGCGCTCGCCGCACCCCCCCCCCCCAACACACACACACACACACACACACACACACACAGGAGACGCTGCCTTGCGCGGAGTACTACAAGCGGCAGGGCTTCCCTCTCAAAAAGATCGTCAAGTTCGCGTCAAACAGGTGCGTGCGCGTCCTGCAGCCTCGCAGCCAGCGATGTGGGGGTGTGTCGAGCCTCCCAGTATTAGGGGCGTGCCTGCAGCAGGCAGGGCGCACCCCCGACGTCTCAGCGTGGATTTGGAGGCGCCCTCAAATCGGCTAAGACCCGCGCCGCGGGTCTGCCGTCCCGCATCTGCACTCGTTCTGGCCCGCCCGCGGCAGGCGCACCGGCCCGGCCTCGAGTCTGCAGCGCGCAAGGCGCGCGAGCATGGGCGGTGGCGCCGGTGGGGCGTCGGCCAGGCTTCCCATCGTCCTCGTGTCCTCACAACTTCTTGTCATCATTCGAACTCGGATTTGCATCATATCATAGGGACTTCACGGATCTGATCGTGTTCAACGAGGACCGCAAGGGCATCAACGGGCTGCTGCTGGTCCACCTTCCAGACGGCCCCACCGCCCACTTCAAGATCAGCAACCTCGTGCTGGGGCGCGACATCAAGGTGAGATCCGGCGTGATCTGATCCCTCGGACCGGATCTTCTACGATCTGGTCTGAAACAGGACAGGACCGACCGATGCTTATGCTCAGGCCCAGCGCGCGGCGGTGGTGCGGGCGTCTGATTGGAGCTGCCTGGGGCGGCTGCTGCTCTCCAGGGCGGCCAGGGGCGGCGACGCACGCCGTGGTGACACCGCGTGACATCAGCAAGGGAGGGG